TGTCTCATGAGAGTGGAGGGGAGGGAGAGAATCACCTCCCTCACCCTGCTGGCCACGCACCTCGTGATGCAGCCCAGGACACGATTGACTTTCTGGGCTGCAAGTGCCACTGATGGCTCATGTTGAGCTTCTCGTCCACCAGTACTCCCAAGTCCTTTTCTTCAGGGCTGCTCTCAAGCCAGTCCCTGCCCAGCCTGTATTCGTGCTTGAGATTGCCCCGACCCAGATGGAAGACCTTGCACTTGGTCTTGATGAACTTCATGAGGTTGAGGTTGGCAAGAGCCCACCTCTGCAGCCTGTTGAGGTCCCCCTGGATGGCATCCCTGCCCTCCAGCGTGTCAGCCGCCCCACACAGCTTGATGTCGTTGGCAAACTTGCTGAGAGTGCACTCAATGCCACTGTCCATGGCTATTGGTTAGGGCTTTATTCAAAAGATCAACTGCAGATTGCTGTGATAACTCTGTGTTTGGAGAGATTTGGCCTACTCCAATGTGATAAGCTGGATGCTGGGGGGGAGGTTGGTCCATTCAGGGCAAGGTGGGGTTTACTGACCATCTCTGCTCTCCACAGGGCCTTCTGTTCTCTACCCCTGAATGTCTGAAGCAGCCCCAAGACCTAGTGAAACTCTACCTTCACGAGTCAAACCGTGTGTACCGGGATAAGATGGTTGAAGAAAAGGATTACAGTACCTTCGATAAAATCCAGCTGGAAATGGTGAAGAAACTCTATGATGTAAGCATTCAGGTTCATAACTTTGATAAAAGAGTGCACACTTTCTGGGGGAAAGCAAGGTTTGACCCAAGGTGTGCCCATCTCTCACTTGCTTGGAGGACACTCTTGATGGCAACCCAGGAGTAAAATCTGTCATCCATATCCTGGGCTGCCAGTGTTGTGCTGTGGGTAAATGATACTTTGTGGAGAGGAGGTTTGGGCTCTGTGAATTGAATAAATCCCTTTATTTAAGTTCTTTGAGTCTTAGGTGGCAAAAGCAGAAGAGTCAGATCCCTGGTCTTGATGGGAGCTAAGTGAAATGCAGGCACAGATCCCTAGAGCTTCTTTTTTTTTTTTTTTTTCCCAAATATCTTTCAAATGAAAGCTCTAGACCTGCTTTCCTTCATGCCTGGTGTCACCCAGCAGTGTTGTCCCGATGAATGGCACAAGCAACACTGAAGCGGTGAGTGGCACAGACAGATAGCCCTGTGCCTGCAGCAGCCTAACACTGTGGCTGCAGACCCTTTCTCATGGCCATTTTCTTTTATGGGAATGAGTTAAGGGACCTGCAAAAAGTTGGCAGCG